AATTCATTGTGATGCCATTCGGATTAACAAATGCCCCAGCGGTATTCATGGATCTCATGCATAGGGTATTCCAGACCTACCTAGATCAGTTCACTGTGGTCTTTGTTGATGACATACTGATCTACTCCAAGTCTGAGGGGGAGCATGAGGGTCACTTGAGGGTTGTTCTCCAGACCTTGAGAGACCACCTGTTATACACCAAGTTTAGCAAGTGTAAATTTTGGCTTACGGAGGTAAAGTTTTTGGGACACGTGGTGTCGGCTTTGGGTGTGTCAGTTGATCCGGAGAAGGTTCAGGCAGTTATAAGTTGGGAGAGGCCGAAGTCAATCTTCGAGATACGTAGTTTCTTGGGATTGGCAGAGTACTACTGGAGGTTCTTTGAGGACTTCTCTCGACTAGCCGCACCTATGACCAGGTTGACCTGGAAAGAGGTCAAGTTCCAGTGGGATGAATCGTGTGAAAGGGCATTTCAAGCGTTAAAGAAGAGACTTACTTCAGCTCCGATTTTGATAGTTCCGGAGAGGGGACAGAGGTACACAGTGTATTGTGATGCCTCCAAAGACGGACTTGGGTGTGTTTTGATGCAGTTTGGGAGGGTGGTAGCTTATGGTTCTAGGCAGTTGAAGAGCCACGAGCAGAACTATCCCACGAATGACTTGGAGTTAGCGGCTATTGTCTTTGCCTTGAAGGCATGACGCCACTATCTATATGGAGAACAGTTTGAGGTATTTTCGGACCATAAAAGTCTGAAGTACATCTTCACGCAGCGGGATCTCAATATGAGACTGCGCAGGGGGATGGAGTACCTAGAGGACTATGACTTCACTTTGCATTACCATTCCGGTAAGGCAAATGTGGTGGCTGATGCACTGAGTTGGAAGTCACGGGGAGTTTTGGCCAGTATGGCTTCCCAGGAGTGGCTAATGCTTGAGACTGTTGGACAGTGCGGGCTACACTACAGAGGTCAGACTCATGGCACTTTAGGGAGTCTAGTGGCTACGCCTTCCCTACTAAGCAGAGTGATCGAGTCCTAGAGCCAGGATACAGAGATATTGTCTATTAGGGGTCGCGTACAGTCGGGTACAGGTGACGAGGGCTGGGCCATTCACACGGATGGTAGTCTTCAGTTCAGGGGAAGGGTTGTGGTTCCCCAGTCTATAGATCTAAGAGAGGAGATCCTTAGGGAGTTTCATAATACTATTGGAATGGGATGAAGAAGCACGTTGAAGATTTTGTTAGTCGATGTCTCACATGTCAGCAGGTCAAGGCTGAACACTAGAGACCAGCAGGGTTGTTTCAACCTTTGGAGGTGGCTGAGTGGAAGTGGGAGCACGTCACGATGGATTTTGTGACTCACTTGCCACGGACATCGCGAGGGCATGACGCAGTATGGGTGATAGTGGACCGACTTACAAAATTAGCACACTTTTTGGTAGTACGGATGACCTTTACACTAGAGGATTTTGTAGACTGTATATACGGGAGATAGTCCGATTACATGGGGTGCCCGTATCTATAGTATCAGATCGGAATCCTAGGTTTATGATCCATTTTTGGGAGAGTTTTCAGTGGGCCATGGGAACACAGTTGATGATGAGTACCGCTTTTCATCCCCAGACGGACGGTCAGTCAGTCAGAGAGGACTATCCACACCTTAGAGGACATGCTACGGGCATGCGTCCTTGATTTCAAGGGTGGCTGAGAGGAGCATTTACCATTAGTAGAGTTCACTTACAATAACAGTTATCAGGCGAGTATACAAATGACACCCTATGAGGCACTTTATGGGAGGCCGTGCCGTTCTCCGATTTACTGGACCGAGGTTGGAGAGAGACCCTTCACGGGTCCGGATTTGATTATAGACACTTCGGAGAAAGTGGACTTGATACGGAAACATCTTATCATGGCTCAGAGCCGGCAGAAGAGCTACACCGACAGACGGCAGCGACCTCTAGAGTTCGAGATCGGAGATCATGTCTTCTTAAAGGTAATGCCTAAGAGGGGAGTGGTCAGGTTCGAAAAGCGGGAAAAGTTGTCGCCGAGATATATCGGGCCCTTCGAGGTACTTAAGAGGGTTGGTACAGTTGCCTATCGGTTGGCATTACTGCCAAATCTATCTGATGTTCACGCGGTGTTCTATGTTTCTATGCTCCGAAAGTATATTCCAGATCTTACACACGTGGTGGATTAGGGTGAGCTAGTGGTTGATGCGGATGAGACCTTTGAGGAGGGACCAGTGCGTATCATGGACAGCCGAGAACAGGTTTTGCGGGGCAAGACTGTGAGGCTGGTAAAGGTGTTGTGGCAGCACCGTGGGGGTGGAGGAGTAGACATGGGAGCATGAGGACACTATTCGAGCTACCTATCCGTTTTTGTTCGAAAATGGAGGTACATCTCTTATAGTCATAGAATATTTAATGACTTTTGCATATGCATGTCGTTATATGTGCATGTGGGTATAATTTCGGGGACGAAATTACCTTAAGGGGGAGAGAATGTAAAACTCCAAAAAAATATTTTATTATTATTATTATTATTAAAAATCCTAATAAAAGGGTTAAAATAATAATTAATTGTTAAATTATAGGTCAAAAACGTATTTAAAAAAAAATTTATACTATATATATATATATATATATATATATATATATATATAGTATAAAAGTGAGTGTGAGAGAGAGAAAAGTGAGTGTTTTTTTTTATTTTTATTTTCCTCTTTTCTTTTCCTCAGATCTACGAAGATTGGACCGTTTAATCGCTTCGGGTTAAAAACTAAAGTTGCTCTACTCAGCAAGAGCTACGCAACCACACCAAATATCGTATTTTTCTCCAAAAGAATATCAAAGCCGATAATCTAGGTCTAAAACTTAGGAAGCTAAATTTGGGCTTCCTTAGCGTTTTAGTAAGTGGGCTCACGCTACGAGAGGTAGGATTTCTCTTATTTAGATTTAATTTCAACTTAAAATATGGCATATGGAATGGATAAGCTATGGGTGTATACCACATGTTAAGTCTTGACTAGTGTGACTAGTGGGTCAAATATAGGAATTTTAATTAATCTTGTGATTAATAAAATCCTATTGTGATTAACTTGGTGTAAGTTAATGTTAGTGGTTTAAAGCATGTTAATTGTATATTAGCATTACTTTATATTTTAATGGTAGATCAAGTTTAAAAAAATTATTAACTTGTTATGTGATTATGAAATAATATGTATGTTAAATGATTATTTGACATATGATTATTTTGGTGGACTTGTGCTTATGTTTATATAATTAATAAACATGTCATGTTATAGGTCATAACATGCTAGTTGTGTAAATTGATGTGTTCTTTAGGTGTTTGATTAAATGCCTAGGTGAATACAAATATGTTAGTTGGGTTGATTATCTTACATAACATGTTTGAGATCATGTTAAAATGTCAATATATTGTATTCATTATGTAATGGACATTGTATTGCATTATGCATGGGTTGCACTACATTCATGGGCATTAACATGGGTGGGAGTGTATGCATGGTATGAAATCAATCACCACATAGGTGGTTAATCGTGGGCTCGAAAAAGTTACACCAAGGTTCGGCCGAGTCGCACGAGAAACTTAAATGAATAAATGTGTTAGAGACAGCAAGAAGGGCTAGATTCTCCCTCGGGTGCAAGATCCGCTTACTTGGTTTATACACATTTCGGCGGTGAAATTTCAGAAAAGTGTAATGGCAGAAACGGAGCCGCAGGTGGGATGTCTTGAAGATCAGTTAATGGTTGGTGTCCCATTGGTGTAATACCATAAATCACCTCCCCACAAAGACACAAGAAAATGAATTAATTAGTCATTGAGTGTACATAACACCAATGATGGGGGTTTGGAATGCCCGGATACATACGCATGACATTGCATGTGTTATGGAAGCTCAGGATGGGGCTCGGGGTTGGTATTGCTTGCGTGAGTCTCATCTCATGGCATGACATGATTTATGACATTCGATCATAATAGACATGTTTGAATGAATGCATCAAATGATTAATGCATGTGACATTCCATATGCATTTTGATTGAGAGGTATTCTTTATAGGAGTTACTCTATTGAGCGTTGGCTCACCCTTTATGAGAACATTTTTCAGGTATCGCACAGGTGTCCACCGAAGGCAAAGCCATGGGCCCGCTTTGACGACAGAGCCGGTCTATGGCTTTTATTTTGACATTGTAGTCCCTTATTTATATTTACTTTTGGCCTTATATAATTTTTGTAACAAACATTTGTTTATATTTACAAAAGCATGTATATGTGACTCTTTTGGGACATTTATTCTCTTACGAATAAATGTATGTATTGATAATGATTATGGTAGTATTCGAGACTATACAATGGTGAATGGATGGATAGACCCGGTGTGGTCAATATTGTACAGGTTGCGTTTTGGGTAGNTTGATAATGATTATGGTAGTATTCGAGACTATACAATGGTGAATGGATGGATAGACCCGGTGTGGTCAATATTGTACAGGTTACGTTTTAGGTAGAGCTCCTCGTACAAATGAGACTCTGTCCAAATTTTGTTAAATTATGGATCCCGAGAAATGGGACATAACGGTGTGGTATCGAATTACACGGTATCCACAAGTATTCTACGGGTCGATGGGTGATCAATCAGATAATTACATCCACCCGAACTTTGGGGTGTCACAGCCCCAATACATCTGCCGCAACCTATAACCACCAGAGCTGCCACTACACCTATTTCTCACACCACCACTATTTCCATATAAACACCATCATTGAATTGCGAACGAACATCTTCACGAGGATGTACCAATCCATAACCACCATCATTCTCATTGTAAGCCTACTAGCCATATCACCTACGGACATGTATCAATAACTTTTGGCAACACAAACTTTATGGTGATGGCTATTGCAGTGCTTTTGACTATTCATCTCTATACCATCCAATTAATATCTAAAACAAACAACTACTAATTACTAGATATTATAGTTACCCTTAGTCATATAGACAGAAGGCCAAAATATATTGGAACAGAACCATGCATAACACTGGAAAAATGCAAATCTTTGCTCGAGCTCATGCTTCTCCGCGATATAACCTATCCCAAACATCTTTTTAAGCTGCAAAACCAACTCATGGACCTTGCGCTTGTCAGGAAGAGACTTGGACATGCTCCCCTTCAACGTGCGCCTCTCAGCCCATGCTGTCACTCGGAACGCCTTTATGCTGAAGTTGGGGCTGGTATCTCAGGTGTAGAATCACCAAAGGGGAGGATGAGAGCCATGTAGACAGATCTAAAGCCCTTACCACCAACGTAAGACTTGTCTCCAAGGTCTGCTACCAGCTGCTGAGGGCTTTGTATAAATTCTTAATTGGCTCCTTCTGGCTTTCTCCTCTCAAAAGTCCATACTTCACGTATCACTCCAAATCTGCATTGCATAGTATTGCAGTCATCATTCGCTATACAAGAGATTTCATGCCTTTCAAGTGATCCCCAAAAGAGAGGCAAACTTTACTTTCTAAAAAAAAAGGGCCCCAAAAAAAATCAAGCACAAAAATAAATAAAAAACTTCATGAGTGATATCTGTTATCATTAAAAAAACAACAAAATTAACCACCATTCTTCAACTTTCTTAGTGCAAGGAGAACAACAAAATCCAGAACAAACAGTTCATCTAACATTAATTCAAATTCAATGGAAGTACTAAACACTTAACTATTTAAGAATATCAATAACTCCTAGAAACTCTAGTGGCATTTGATGGAAGGCAAAACAAATTCCTGGGGAACTGCATATGAGGTAGACAGGAAATCTGACAATTGCTTGCCAATGTTCATGTTTCTCTAGCAGCTACAGTAACCCAAGCCTCTCCTTCAATTTCAGTACAAAATCATATATCTGGTGCTGATCAGCGAGAGACATAGAGACACTCTCCTTTCCCATGCACCTCTTGGCCCATTCAACCAGCTTGGGGCATTCTGCTTCTATGCTGAAATTGCCACACGTCTCATAGGCATAAAACCAGCTATAGAAAGGAACAAGTGCAACATCGACATACCCAAAGGTCTCACCACCAAAGTAAGGTTTGTCTTCAAGCTCTCCTTCTAACACCTTGAGACTTTCTATAAATTCATCCTTCGCTGCTTCCTGTTTTTCTCCTTTTGTCGTCCATACTTTCCTCCCACCACTATATATCTGCGTTAGATTGGACCACAGCTCTAATATGTTAGTAGTAAACTAGAAGAAATGAAAATCAGAACAAATAGAAGAACAAGTCGATTTCTTTTCTCAGTTTAGACAACATAACTGAGGAAGGAGCAGAGAAGGCTGAGCCGCTGAGGCAGGGGGGCTTATATGTGATTAAGAGGGATCACCAAAAGAACATTCATCCTTGGTGCTTACAACCAAAAATCCTGTGATGGTCCATTTATAGTACCGGCCCAAGTTAGCATTTAGCGAAATTATAAGCATAGAAATATCTAGGTGATTTGAGTCTCCACTACTAATTTCTTTCAAAAGTCTTGATAACTTTGGTCATTTGTCAGGCTAAAGAGGGATGTTTTCCAGGGGGAGCTTTTTATTGCTCTGTAATAAACTGTTGGGGATCCCTTACAGAAGCTTAAAATATTCCTTTAAGCAATAGAATTTTCCCTAAAAATAGGAGAAAAGATGGATGCGTAACTAAAATGTGGATATTACTATGGGCTTGTGCTAAAACAAGGAAAGAAATTGAATTTTAAATGAGTATGTTCACCAAATGGTAGAATTAGTACCAATAATAGAGAAATTAAGAAAAGAATTGACCAAAAGGATTTGGGCAATTTCAAAGAAGACTTATAACTGCACCATAGATATTGATATTGGTAGGTCAAAATTAACAATGACTTAGATAGTACAAAAATGGATACGTTAGTTTATGGTTTAGCATAAGATAGAGTCATAGACAGAATATAATAATGGATTCATGTAGTCATCCTCAAATAAAAAAAAAACATTACTGAAAAATATAGGGCAGAAAAATAACATAAAGCCAATCATTTAACTCTTAACCCCAACAAAATTGAAAAGTTTAAGATTGTTTAAGATAAAGCCAATCATTGGGAAGAATATTTTTCAGTTTGGTTTGTTGAATTTTATCTTATTCTTCTGATTCTGAAAAAATCATCTATTCGCTCTCATACTAACATGTAGAGCACTAGTAAAGTACCAAGCATAGCCTATCCCCTCGCAATATGACTTAGCTTCATCACAGTTTTGTAACAGTAGGTTAAAATGCTTGATCACTGCAATTTTATTTCCTACAGCTGGGATGTATCGACTTAAATTTATAATATTTCATGTAAGAGAAGATACAATCACATTGAAACATTGTTACAATACTTTCTTCACCTATTTCCTCATTTAATTCCATATTTGCTTAATTTTTAAAAACATTGAATATCAGCTTTGTTGCAGCTAAACTTCCATGAAAAGCAAGCACGATGGACTCCATCATAGATCTACAATATCAAGTAGGGGTATTGGGAAATACGTCACAAATACGAAGGATCGTCATGTTGCTACTAAATTTACATCAAGTTTGTATATATTTTCTGGATTCTTTTACTTGTTTATTATCATATAGAGAAAGTTGGGAGCAACATACTATTCACCATTTTTTTTCTTGGACATTAACTATGAATCAATTGTTTTCCCACGGGTTTTCTCGTGAACAGAACATAGTCGACAGACACATAAGAAAAACAAAAAGATGTCAAAAAAAATTAACATAAGATCTGAGTACTAGACAGTACAAGCAAAGCCTTGTTGGAGCATATAACAAAACACTTGGCGGACAAAAAAAACATACCTTCCTGTCAACATAGTCCGCCCAGAACCTGGCTTGAGCTTTATGGTAGGGATGAGACGGCAACAATGGAGCTTTATCCTTCCAGACCTCATCGATGTACTGGACTGCAATTAAGGACTCGCACACAGGATTGGAATTGTGGATTAAAACTGGGATTTTCTTGTGAACTGGGTTCATCTTCAGGAGAAGAGGGCTCTTGTTCCTCAAGTCTTCTTCTTTGTACTCGTACTTGATACCCTTTTCAGCTAGTGCTATTTTGACCCTCATTCCAAACATACTCGGCCAGAAATCCAACAGAACCACCTCACTCGCCATTGCTTGAAGAGCTGAGAAATGCCCGAAAGAAATGGTAAGCTCTTCGTATAGGTACTGTTGCAGACTTGCAATGTGAACAGTCGTAGTGTGTTGCAAACATGACACCACATGATTTATTATCGCTTTATGTCAAAATTTACTTGGGTGGGTGCCCTCTATTTTGGAGAAAAAAATGAGTGTGTTAAATTTAAGAATATGGAAACCACAACTAGGAACTGAAGCTAAAATTAATTGAAATGAAACTTATTACAGCTAATGGAATAATTTTTCACTAATCCCTTCAAAATGGAATTGGAATTGGAATTGGAATGAAGTTCATAAGGTTTGATGGAGATGTCATACTTCTACATAGTAATAAATAATGATTGAGAAACAAATGGTTAAAATGATTGGTGTGTTTTCATTTTTTTTCCCCACAGAACTCAACTAAAAGCAAACAATTACACCAATAATTAATTATAGGCTACCACAGTATGGTTTACTCTTATAAAACACAATTTTTTTGGATATATATATAGGTTACTCTATATATTCGATAGAAAATATTATCCCTTAATACTACAAAATTATTTGCAAAAGAACGTCAAAGCTAAAATAAGGAATCTCATTGTGTGCTTTGGGCGTTAAAAAGTATGTTATGTTTAGCTCCACTGAATTGTCATAACTGAATTGACATAGTTACGAAGACTTGAACCCAAACATTGAGCAAAAAAATCCAAATTCTTAGACCAACCACTCCTATTACACATTTCCTTCTTATCTATAGTTTTTTTATTCAAAATTTAGCTGTTTAAGTTACATCCCCAATCTTTTCTTAAATTCCAAATAGGCTTCATAAATCTGTTCTTGGTGAGGAAGAGACTTGGAGACACTATCCTTCTCCATGCACCTCTTGCCCCATGCCACCAGCTTAGGACACTCTGCCTCTATGCTAAAGTTTGCAAAGGTCTTGAAAATGTTGAACCAGTTGAAGAAGGGTATAAGTGCAATATCCACAAACCCCATTTCTGAGTCCCCAAAGTAAAGCTTATCACCAAGCTCTTCTTCCAGCAACTTGGACCACTCAATGAGTTCCTTCTTGCCAGTTTCTTGGTCCTCTCCTCTGCTCATCCATATCTTCCTACTAGATCCATGTACCTGCACCAATTTGTAGGTTGTGTTAGGAATTAGCTTCCCTAACCCATTATCTGGTACGCGGAATAACAACAGAATAATAAAGTAAAGACACAGAAGAATTGCACACAACAACACACAGATTTGTTAAGAAACTTGACATCGTGAAAGAAATCATTGAATCACACTAAATCCATTAACGGTTCCCCCCCCCCCCCCCCCCCCCCCCC